TGTCATCGTGAAGGCCGGCCTGGACGTGGCGCGAAAGTGAGTTTACACGATCCAATCGGCCGCCGATATTCGCAAAAACAGCTTTAAAAGCCCTAAAAAACAGCTTTAAAATCCAAAAAACATATTTAAAAGCCCTCAAAACTGCTTTAAAATCCCCAAAACCTCATTAAAAGCCTTCAAAACTGCTTTAAAATCCCCCAAAATAGTTTTAAACCCCCCAAAAAACGCTTTAAAATATAAAAAAACATCTTTAAAAGCCCTCAAAACAGCTTTAAAATCCCCCAAAACATCTTTAAAAGCCCTCAAAACAGCTTTAAAATCTCAAAAAACATCTTTAAAAGCCCTCAAAACAGCTTTAAAATCTGAAAGACTTCTAAAAAATCCCCAAAAACTGCTTTAAAAGCCCCGAAAAAGAGTTTTAAACCAGTCCTGGACGCCGCCCGGGGTCACCCGCCCAGCCCCTCAGGAACAAGAGCAAGAAGAGGAGCGCCTACGGATCCAACCAGGAGGAAGAGGAGGAGGAGAAAGAGGAAGAAAGGGACCCTGAGGCCAGCGACCACGAGGAGGAGGACCCCGGTCAGCCAAAGGACTACAAGGACCTGGACAAACACGTGCAGTCCTTCCGCTATGATGTCATCGTGAAGGCCGGCCTGGACGTGGCGCGAAAGTGAGTCTACACGATCCGATAGAGCTTTAAAATACCCCAAATAGTTTTAAACCCTCAAAAAACGCTTTAAAATCTCAAAAAACATCTTTAAAAGTCTTCAAAACAGCTTTAAAATCCCCCAAAACATCTTTAAAAGCCCTCAAAACAGCTTTAAAATCCCCCAAAATAGTTTTAAACCCTCAAAAAACGCTTTAAAATCTCAAAAAACATCTTTAAAAGCCCTCAAAACATCTTTAAAAGCCCTCAAAGCAGCTTTAAAAGCCTTCAAAACATCTTTAAAAGCCCTCAAAACAGCTTTAAAAGCCCTCAAAACAGCTTTAAAATCCAAAAAACATCTTTAAAAGCCCTCAAAACAGCTTTA